AAGCTACATTATCAACTTCAAAGTGGCAAGTATGGAAGCATTGGATCCACCATTTGTTAAATTTAATTAAAATATATACTTTTGGTATATTGTATTAAATAACATTACATTTAAGAGCATCTCCAATGCTATAAGTGTGAAAGACCATTATTTTTAACACATATCAATTAGTGATTGTAATGTTAATCCATATTGGAATAATGTTAAAAGACTAAAAATTTCAATGAAACTAGTATCTCCAATACATCAATTTGATAAGAAGTTATTTGTATAGGTGGACTAATTAAATAATTCATTGATATAAAAAAAATAAAAAATTAAAACAAATATAAAGTAAATTGATGAGTCATCATGTTTAACATGGTGTTAGATATTAGAAAGTGTGCTCAACATTGTCAACATTAAATGACATCCACCTCATCATGAAAGAGTTCATGACAAGATGCATTGGAGAAAAAAAATAGAGACACACTTTCAAAAGTTGATGATATGGATGACTTTTTATAATGTCAAAAGTTGCATTGGAAATGCTCTAAGTTTGAAAGTATATAAATATGTTGAAAGAAAATGAATGCCTAATCTATATATATATATAATAAGAATTAACATTTATAAAAAATAGTAAGTCAATCCTTGGTCAAAACTTATCAACATTAATTACATACCATTTATAGTATTTTTTAATATATTTTTTACTAAAAAATGGACAACATTAAATATTGTTCTGAAAATGAGGAGTTTGTTACTTTTTTATTTTAAAAAAAGTGGACTGCTATTTAAATTTGGTCTATTGAATATTTGCGATGGTTTGACACGATGTGAATATCAAAAGCTGCACGTGTTGCATCAATTAAATTTGGTTATTGGTTACAATAAACTATTTTTTAGTTTAAATAAAAATGTACGACACAATTGCTAATTCAATTAAATATCGGCCGATTATATTCTCCAAATTTAAAACCAGATATTTGGCTAATAAAATTGCTTTGCTTGGCTGTTTTTTTTTTAATAAAAAAATTACGACTGATTTAATAATAATAAAAATTATGTGTTATTTTTTCTAACCATAAAAATATGCTTTTTTGTATTTCAAAATATCAAAAACTTTTTATTTTCTATTAAATCGGCTAATACATATGTTTTGAGCAAATTTTATTTAAACAAAATTACGGCTAATTTAAGGGTAAAAATATTTTTAAAAAAATCATTTGTGTATTTCTTTTGAAAACATTTTTTCTAACCATCAAATCGAGCAGTTTCAATTACAAGAATAAAGTTGCTTCACCGTTCTAATTTTAAAACGATCAAAATTTTTATGGTCTTTGTTTAAATCGGAGATTTGAAATAAGAATAATCTCCATATTTAAATTGCTTTAATTGTAAAACGTGATGTATACAAGATTTAGATAGATTTATCACATATCATCCTCTAAATTAATGATTTGTTTTTTAATTTCAAAATACCAAATCATTTTTTTTATGATATTTGTTTAAATCAGAGATTCAAAATATCTTAATCTCCATATTTAAATTGGTTTAATTGTAAAACGTGATGTATACAAGATTTAGATAGATTTATCACATATTTCCCCTAAATTAATGATTTTATTTTTTTTCTAAGTTTTAAAATACCAAATCCTAAAGTTGCGGCTGATTTAATTATTAAACGATATTTTGCAATCATAGATTCGGGTTATCTTCAAATTCAAAATTTAAATTGCCGATATGTAGATAAATTTGGACAGATTAGATACATATGATCCCTAAATGAAAATTTTTATTCCATTAAAAAACACAAAATATGAACTTAAGATGTAGATTTTATTATGCATGTGTGATAATACGATTTTACATGATATGAAAGTCATATTGTTTACCCGTGCATCGCAGGGGCTACGCACTAGTGATGAGATAATAGGTCTAGTTAGTCAACTTATACAATGTTTTCCTTGATAAATACATAGTTAAATTTCTTTTACTCAATGTCTTTCTAAAGCTTAAATAGTTTGTACCCTAACGAACACCAAATATTAGTGGCTGGCATAATTTTATTTCTTGTCCACTATATTGGTCATTTTTCACAAAGGTCCATCTTTTTTGCAGATGTCAAACTTAATACATTAATTTAAAACATTCATCAAATAAGATACATTAATCATCAGTGACAAGATATAAATCATTGTTTCCTTTTCGGTCTAATTTGAAAGTCGTCCGATGTCCGTTTCAAGTGGGCAACCTACAATTGGCCACTCTTCTCATCGAGACGGTCGTATCAGTAAAGTTTTAGCCCAACTATATTTCGTTTGCCTACTCTATTTTACATCCAAAATAATTTTTGTTATTTTTTTATCCGTTCTAATTACGACGTCATATATCATGCGGTGACCTGCCGTCGGATTCTTCTTGTCGAATAAGTTATACTCACAAAATTTAATCTCAATTGGAGTTTGTTTGCTTGCTCAATTTGTCATCGAAAATAATTTTAGCTCAAATTTGTTGTTATCTATCTAGGGGACATTTTGGTGCCTTATGGTGTACATTTTAGTTGGGTGACGCACTGTTGAATTTGTCTGAACAAGACAGTCGTAACCACAAATTTGTAACCCAATTAGATTATATTTGCCCAGTCAATTTTTCGTCCAAGATAATTTAGGTTGTTCTGTTTTTAGATTAATTATGGTGTCGTCTCACGTCAATTTCAAGTATGTGATCCACCATTGAATTCTTTTCGCCGAGACGGACGTATAGCCAAAATTTCAGACAAATGAAGTTCGTTTGTTTAGTTAATTGACCGTTCAAAGTTATATTAGGAAATTACAAATTTGGTTCCGTTAGATTGGGACGGTGGCAATTTTAGTCCCAAGAGGCGCAATTTCAGTCCTTAACTAATTTTTGTTGCGCAATTGGTCCCAAATCTAACTGACTGTTAAGTTACTGTTAACTCTCAGGACTAAAATTGCAACTGTAGGACTAAATTTGCAATTTTCTAATATTTAATATATATAAAATAACTTTTCATTTTTATTTTATTTTTTATAATTTTATTCATCTCTAGAGTTATATTTTTATTTTTTATCAACCACTATAATCATAATAAACTTAAATGATGATTTTCTAAATATATTTATTATTTAATTAAAAATATTTGAAATATAGAAAACATTGTATTGCAATTAAATTTTTTAACATATTAATAATAATATAAATTTAAATTTATTTTAATTTATATATATCACTATATTTTTAAGTTTATATTTTTTCTATATTGAAAATATTTAAATATTTTTGTTATATATCAAATATGAATTTAAAAAATATGATTTAATAAAAAATATTTTTGGCATATATCAACTATGAATTTAAGTTTATATTTGTGTTATATTAAAAATATATATAAATATGAATTTAAAAAATATATCAAATAATAAAATTGACCAGTCCGATCAACCAATTTAAAATTATATATCAAATATATCAAAAATAAAAATATATAAATATGAATTTAAAATTATATATCAAATATACACACACACACACACACACACACACACACATATATATATATATATATATATATACAATTGACCAATCTGATCAACCAATTCTGTCTGGTTCATTGAAAACCAGTTCTTTCAAATGAATCCAATCATTTGACCGATTCTAAAAATTAAAAATAATAGTAGTTGATTTTATTTTTATTTTTATTTTACGTTTTAAATTTTTATTAACCTCTAAAATTATATTTTTATTTTTTATCATCCAATATAATTATAATAATATTAAATAATTATTTTGTAAAAATATTTATTATTTAATTAAAAATATTTTGAATACATAAAACATAATAATATAAATTCAAATATATTTGAATTTATATATATCAAATATATTTAAACTTATATTTTTGTTATATTAAAAAATATAAAATTTATTAACTTTTTAAAATATATATATTATTGACCAGTCCATTCAACTAATTCTAATCGGTTCATTGAAACCAATCTGTTTAAAGGAATCAAACCGTTTAGTTGACCGATTCTCGATTCAACAACAAGTTTGGCCGAGCTTTCAAACCAATGGTAGTTGGTATTACTTTTATTTTTATTTTTATTTATAAACGTTATTAATCTCTAGAATTCTATATTTCTAATAAAATTAAATAACTATTATTTTTTAAATATATTTATTATCTAATAAAATTTATTTTAAATATAGAAAACATTGTATAGTAATTATTATTTTTTTGTCTCAAACCTTAATTTTTATTATCAAATATTGTTAAATACTCATGGAATAAAAATTGCAACAAAAATTAGTAATAAAATTATTTTTCAATATTTGGGACTACATTTGCAGCAAAACCAATCTTATGGGACTATATTCGCAATTTTCTTCCTTTTCAAACTAATGGTGACTTAACGATCAGTTAGATTTGGGATCAATTGCACAACAAAAATTAGTTAAGGACTGAAATTGCGCCTCTTAGTACTAAAATTGCGACCGTCCCAATCTAACGGGACCAGATTTTGCAATATCCTCAAGTTATATGCAGAAAAGCCCGTGATAATCTGGCTTTTATCCTGCTACTAGTTTAGTGTACATGTTATTTTGATGAATATTTTAAATTAATGTACTAAGTTTGATGTCTGCCGAAAATGTAGACCTTTGTTGAAAAATGGTCAATTTAATGGACTAAAAAAAAATTTGTCATTATAGTGGCTTGTATTTAGCCAAATGAACTTCACTACCACTTTATACTTTCATGGTATGTCAGATAATGTCATATACTACTTTCCGATCTAAAGAATCATGAACGAAGGCAATTACAAAAAGGCATTTGCTAGTAAAGCACACTACAAGCAACTTGAATTCATTGGACATAATGTTCCAAATTAAGCTCGAATTCGCTGCCCAAATGCAACTGATCATTTAAGTCCCCAAACTGAAAGTAGGTAAAATATCTCGAACCAGTTTTTGAGAATAAATATATATATACATCTTTAAACATGTCCGTCTTGAGGCTGAACCCACACCATTAACTCTGCAGCAGCTTGCTTGAATATTTCTTCAACTACAAGTGATGATCCTGATAACTGCACTAATGGTCCAGTTGCCTGTTATATATGCCAAGACAACGAATATGATTAACGAATAAATGCGATTAAATACATTAAATAATTAATGCAATTCTAAAAATAACGATTTGATCTATACGTAATACGTTATATAGTTAATATAATTATATACATTAAATAAGTAATCCTTCTTACCCGGACTTGAAGCATGAACATGCTTCGATTGACTCCAGACGAGACTTGACCGGAAAGAACCTCAATTTTGTACTTATCCAAAACGAAGCAAATGACGGCCAGCAGGCACGGTTTTGTCGGGCAGCATATGTTGATTTGTGCGTCCTTTCCACACGCGCTAAGGATGACATTTGGGGAAGTCCACGTCTTGAAATAGATAGGCCCACCAGCAATTAACGGGCTTGGGTTCGATGAAGTTGTGGGCCCACGGCTTGTGGATACCTGCTCGGCTATAAAAGCTTCTCTTGTTTGGGCCGAGACTTTAGCATTCCCATACAACCTTTGAGCCTTTTGGGTCTGTAGGGCTCCAAGAGTTTGCTGTAGCTTTTGGATGAATACAACTGCTTCATCCACTATGGTGGCTTTGTCTGCCTATCATTAATTAATTCAACTTTATGAAATTAATATATTCCTACGCTGTGTAAAAAGGAACTAGTACGTAGCCCGTGCGATGCACGGAACAGAAGTATTAAATGAGTCATTTTCACAGAGCTTGTCCGTTAAGTAGCTCGTGCAATTCACGGGAGATATTAAATGAGTGAACCATATGACTTGTCCGTTCAGACCTAAGAAATAATAGAGTTTGATCATCTATTTTTTTTACATCTTTTCATCAACGTCATTTTTTTGTCGGAACATTAAACCTGAGTCTGGTAGCGCTAGCCCGTAAATTAATTAATATATTATCTCGCTCACATATTTATAACAATATAAATTTGATTTCATTATATATATTTATTCCTTGATATAAGAAAAATAACAATTTTACATAATCTTGTCCCTCGTATAATACTCATATTATTTTATTATAAAATTTATTGTAATATAATGTCATTATTATTATTTATACATGTTATAAATGTAGTCTTTTTCTTCTTTTTGTTTTATGTAATTAAAATATTTAATGCATGCTCATATTATTTATTAATGTAATTAATTTAAATTATGTAAAAAATTTAAAGTAAAACATTTTATACAAACATTTTACAAAATATACACAAATGTTTTTTAGAATTTAGTTTTTTATAATAAATAAACATCTTTGAAATTCTATGTAATTATTAAACATCCTTGATATAAATTCGAAATCATAATTGAATTCTATGCAATTATTCATTCCGTCCGATGTTATGGGAATCAAATCATTCGGAAATGTAACAAAATGATAAGAAATTTTAAAATTTAAATTTTAAATGAGACATGTTTTTACTTGAATTCTATGCAATTATTATTTTGTCCAATTTTATGGCAAACAATTCATTCAAGATTTTAATGTAACAAAATGATATGAAATTTTAATATTTAAATTTAAATTTGAAATGAGACATGTTTTTTACTTGAAGTCCATCTGTCCGATTTTATTGCAAAACACATCAATTAAGGATGAATTAATGCAAACTGATTTTTTAGCAATAAAATACTAATACAATTGAAAAAATTGATGGAAATAAAATGCATTAATTACCTTTGACTTTTCTACCTGCTATTTCTAGTAAATAGGATGGCTTTTTATATAAGTATAGATTCTCATCATTGATTTAGTGTTAATTGTGGAGACAATATCTCAATATTAAACTAATTAATTCTTGATACAATTAATGTGTCATAAAACTATGGTTCCAAATTTTTGGACATATACCTGGAATTGAATTTTTTCTTCTTTTGTCAATTTCACTCCAACCACAATATTTATATATATGATTGAAATTTGATAAAATGTTAGACTGAAGCTAAAAAGCCCTAAGATAGCACTGCAATTATAACTGAATAATATCCACATTTAAAATGTTGTGAATTAAAACTTCTTGACAAGATATAGACATATACAAAACCCATCCATTGTAACTAATATGAATTTCGATTTATACAACTTAAGATATTGATGTTGTTTGGAGTAAAACTGGACCATCAACTACCTTGTTCTAATGTCTCAACAAAATCATAAGGAACATCTAGTTTGAATTAACCCCCCCAAAAAAACACAATAAGAGAAAATTGTCACAGATCAGCGAATCGTGATCGTCTTGCCAAAATTAAATAAAAAAAAACCCTATTTTTATTTCTTTATTTGGTTAAACTGACATCTAAATTCATTAAGGTGGAACCCTTGATTCTGACAGAAACTGAAAGACCGATGTGTTCTATGCGCAAGATTGTTGGTGAATTCGACAAATACTCTCTAGAGTAGAGTATAGTTAGCAATGAAAACGGGAAAGGACAAATTTAAAAAGAGAGACGTGAGCGCAAAAAAGGAGTACTAATTAAGTTAGAAAGTGAATATTAAAAAGCATGCCCCTCGGCCTAATATATTTCCCCATATGTCCTCGTCCATACTACAGTTGCCCATTAACACAAATTTAAACCTAGCTTTCAGGAGTTATTACATATAAACAAGAGAAGAAGATTAATTATGAATTAATCAATTAGTGAAAGGAATGAATGTATTAGTATTAGAGTATTAGTTAGTTACCCTTGGAGGGAGGTGGGGCATCAAAGCATGAAGATTTGCAAACATGTCCCTCATCTTCTTCCTCCTCTCTCTTTCTATCCATATATGTTGTTGCTGATCATGCTCACTTTTCTTTTCATCACCGCCGGCTTTCCTCTTTTTCGGGTTGGCCGCTAGAGATTCTCTCTCCGCCACCTCATCCTTTCCTTTGTTGTCGGCAAGAATCGGGAAGGAACATGAGTCGTCCCAGAAGAAGGTGTCTTGGCCCGCAAGGCCTTGTGCTGCCATTGCTAAGATGTCGTCGTGGGCCCCACAACCACCGAGATCTTCCATCATAGTTAAAATGTTATCACTATTATATAACTTTTGAATTTTAAGTTTATGTGTAAGCTTGGAGAGAATTTTAAGGTTATATATAACAATAAATTGTGTGTGTATGCGTGTAGAGAGAGAGAGAGAGGCGGCAAAGGTTGGAGATAGGAATTTTGTAAAGCAATATTAGCTGGGAAGTGAACGAGAAACAAACCAAAATACAATCATGAGCCAAGAAATGCCGTTACAGGCTTCAAAACAATACTCGCTAGCTAAACCACTTTTGCAGATTATTTTCTCACCATAAAGAGGGTCCCACACTTCCTTAACCCATTTCCTTTTGTGAAAATACCACAAAATAGCACTTAATACAAAGAAAAATTGAAATATAGCCATTGTGTGTAAAAAAAAATGAAAAGTAGTCATTTTAAGGGGCAAAAATACCTAATTGCCCTTTCTTGCACAATTAACTCAGTTTTTCTTTTCACCTGCAATTCACCCCTCCTTATTTCACCTTCTGCAGACAAAACAAAAAAAAAAATCAAAATTCAAATCGTCCTTGCGAGCCCAGCGAAAATCTCGTCCTC